GATGTCAGCGGTAGCGTTGCGTCGGAGGAAGCCTGTCGAGAAGGCAGTTCTTTATTGAGAGAGGGGTGAGGGATATCTGGCGGAATCTGAGCGGAAACAGAGCGGAGCGCTGCTGCGTGGGGAAAGGATCCGTTTGCTATCCAGATAGAAGAAACGCATCGCAGCGAGGAGCAGCCTGGTGGGAGGGGAGAACCCGTGAGCCCCTTTCCCTTCAGGAATGACAGGATGTGCCAAAGCAGATGGCCTCGGTCAGGCAGGTGTCTGCCTAGGGGTCAGATCCCAGCTCTAGCGTATGCCTACCGTGAGTGTTTCTGAGGCTCAGAGAAAGACACCCTGCCGAGGAACTATTTGGCTAGACCTGTCAGCGCGGGGAATGCAGCCCTCACTGGAACGCCAGTAGAGAATGTCTGATTTGCTCAGTAATTGCATTACCTGGGGAATGGCTGGCAGTCTGAGCAAAGTAATGCTGGCTTATGCATTGGCTGGATACTGGGGGGATTTTGTTGATAAGCAGCACTTTGGCAAGGTGGGATAAAACATAGTATCCTGGAAAATACATGTTAAATAGCAATTTTTACATATGCACACTAGGCAGTACTTTACAAAATCTCCCTAAAGTACAGCAATTGAAATGTGTAAGATAAATTCAGTGTCTTGTTCAGTCTTAGAAAAGCTTTTAAGAGAGGTCCAGCTGCAGCTAGTTGGAGCAGAGGAGGAATGGAAAGGTGAAATGTTATGCTTCGCCTTTAAGGGCTCAAAATAAACTGGAACATAAGGTGGAGGGATTTCCTGGGTTGCTGTAGCTTTCAGCTTTTGCAAATGCTATATTATATAATTCTGTCATAAATGTATCAAGTTAAGATCTTTTGCCACCATTATTCCCACTGGGAAGCTGTTCCCAGAACCTCCTTCACATTTTCATGCTAAGTATATTTGTGACTGGTTTGTATCCACAAGTTCTTGCACCAGTGTTGGCCTTAAATAGCTCCTACTCCATAGCATTTACCCTTTTTACCCTTTGTGTGTTTACAGTTCCTCCTGGCCTTCATCTGACTGGTCTCAGAAGTGACTTTCTGCTCCTGCTTCTGTATTCTTTCTTTTCAATATACACTACCAGAATAGAGCATGGTGTTCTTGACAGTATCTTGCCCCCGGACACAAGGACACTGGTATTAACCCCTTCTAAACCCTGTTAGGAATGTTGTTTTCCCTGTCATGTTGGCAGCTATTTTGGGGCCAGCTACTGTGTGCAGTGAGACCATAATTTTCCTTTCCCAGACTTCAGAGAGGTTGGTTAGGGTCTACCTTTCTTAGCCGTCTCTTCTGTATAAAATGTAGGGACTGCAGACAAAACTAGCTGATGATAAATTCAGAACAACAAAGAGGTAATTGGTGTAATGATATAGAAATACGGAATTGCTTGGGTTGGAAGGGACCTTAAAGATTAGCAGGTTCCAACCCCACTGCTGTGGGTTCATTGCTTCCAATTAGATTAGGCTGCCCAGGGCCTCAGCCTGACCTTGAATATCTCCAGGGATGGGGCATCCACAACTTCTCTGGGCAGTCTGTTCCAGGGCCTCACCACTGAGTATGTAATTTCCTCCCAGTGTTTTACCTAAATCTCCCCTCTCTTAGTTTGAAACCATGCCATCTTGTCCTATCCCTACATCCCCTGACAAAGAATTTGTCCTCAGCTTTCCTCTAGCCCATTTTTTTAGGTACTAGAAGGTCTCCCTGAAGCCTTCTCCTCTCCAGGCAGAACAACCCTAACTCTCTCAGCCTGTCTTCAAAGGAGAGGTGCACCAGCCCTCTGGACATCTTCACTGATGCTCCTCTGGACCTGCTCTAACAAATCCATGAAGTTAAATTGGAGAACTTTGGCACAAAATGCTATAAGTGCCAAAAGTTTTCACGGGTTTAAGGGGAGAGAGGAGAAATTCTTGAAAGAACTGGCTGCAGATGTAATCTCTGGTGCCTGAAATCTTTGGTAGACAAGTTGCTGAAGCCCAGCAGAGTTTTTGTGGAAAAAACTTTGCAGTTATCAAGAATGTTTCCAAGCATCCCCTTTCCTCCTGTTTTGTTTTGTTTTGTTTCCCCATCACTCACCTTGGTCTTTCCATGTACTTTGCCTTGCTTTCCACTGATCTCCTTTCATACCTACACCATTTTTCGTTGTTCACAGCCAACAATAACCCCTTCCTACTTCTAGCCACCACAGATGCTTTTGCTTTTAGCATACCAGTTCTTTCCCATCTTGCTCCTGTTCACATCACTGAAGGAGACCTGATTGCCTACAGCCACTGGACACTGAAGTTCACCAAAAATAATATTTATTGGCAAAGCACTCAGCAGTCAAAAGCAAAACAACCACTATGTGTCCTTTATCATAACCCCTCTGAGTTTTCAAACCATGCTAGGTCCCTATAGGTCCCACTAGGACCTCCTCGTGCCATAATGAGGAGCTACAATCTTCTGGAGATGAACCACATCATCCATACTTTGGATTTGAAATGTTAGAATTTGAGCTCGCATGTCCTCAGTGATGGCAAAGCAAAACTAGCAGTGAACAGTTCTGTGTAAACAGGGAAAAGTCCAGTGATGTAAGAGGTACAGAGGCATTTGTCAGATTAGGTTTGAGAGCAAGTCCTAGTGTTGAGCCTTCAGCTCAAAACATAAAGGCTTTGAAAGTGTATTTAGTAGAGCAGAATGAATTCAGTATATCCCACTGCTTTTAAGAAATATTTGTTCAAGAAATAGTAATCTCTCCCTGTTGTGAGAAATTTTGGCCCAATGGATTCCATACAATATAAACCAAAAGCACCAACCTCACCTTCAACCTGACCCTGTTTGACTTCTGTAAAAAAAATTGTATCTCCTATTAAAAAAATTTAATGCACTTTTCAGCAGAGTATTTCTTTCAAGGGTTCATGCTACAGCTGTTGAATAGCAGTGAGAAAATGTTGGTTTCAAGTTTTTATTACTTGCATGTGTGTTTGCATTTATCCTTAATTGCAACAAAACAGATGTCATTTTTTAAGAGTGGGAGAAAAAACAAGGGTCCTAAATATTTTCCTACAGCACCAGTGATTCAAACACAACAGCATTTTTCTAGTACATGAAATGCCCATAGTGAAACGATTGTTCTTTTCCTATTCAAGAGGGGCAATACAAGAACCTCTGTGAGCCTCAAGTTAATAACACCTATCATCTTATTTACCATATATATATATATATGTATAGTTATATATATATAGCTATTTACCATATATATATATATATATATAGTGTATACATATCTACATCTTATCTCATTTACCATTAAAGACTGGAGAAGCAGCAGAAGCAAGAGGGCTTTCTGTAAATCAATTTAGATATGGACACATTTGTTTCCTGATTAAATACATTTCCTTTTTGGGAGATGTACTGCACATAGGACAACAAAAGGTAACCTTCAGTACTCCTGAAGAAGCTAAAGTTATTTCAAACTTTTTTTTTTTTTTCTTCAGTATAGGCCCAGGAAGTTGGAACCAAGCAAAAACTGCTGGCCTGGTATTCTGGTAAAATCCCAATCATTTTGAGAACTGGAGTATTTTTTTTTTGTGTGTGTGTGGATTTAATGATGAAAGCACCATGCATCACCGATGTGATGATGGATGGTTTCTATGGGGCAGGTCTGTCCCACCTGCGTCACTGCAGTGTGCTCAGGTATCAGCACTAAGCAGATGCACTGCAGGAAGGAAATTTTCTATCACATTCTTTATCTGAGAGGAGTTAAATGGAGTAGCTGCTGCGGCCACGAGAAAGCTCAGTAGACTTGTTTGTAGGGTGTATGTGAAGGAACTCCTGCATTTTTGTACAAGGGATGATGATTAAAAATGCCCTGTAGTGAAGATAAGATTGTATGAAATGCTAACAGCTCTTGAAAACCCAAGCAGGTTCCCAAGTGAGCTGGTGCAGTTTTGTTAGTGAGCCCTTGAACAATATATGAATCACAGGTAAGAATAAAAGTCATCAGGCTCTATCTCAGAAAAAGCCAGGAGTAGAAGGCATTGCTGCAAGAGCAGAAGGGTTGAAGACAACAAAAGGCAAGTTGATAAAACATCCAAGTGATCATATTCATTAGAAAGATCAATTGTTTTGGCCTTTATATGGACATTTTCCTGATAATATGTATTATTCTAAGTTATTATTTCAATACTGTGCAAGTTGAAAGTGGGAGTGCTTTCTTGTTATCTCTTATTAAAAGTACTGGTTAATTCTTAAATGTCCTTAGGATCATTTTAGTCCTGGTGAATCCCTGTAGCACCCACAATCAGCCAGCTATGGTGAGCTTTGGGTCATTGGGCCTATGTACCACCTCTGAGCGAAAGCACAGCTGCAGTTGTGCTCTGTGCTCCCCAATTGCACCCTGATGTGGGACCTTCCAAGGTCCCCTCCAAACAGTCCCTCCAATTTACAAAGACATCTCTTTGCTGTGGAAATGTTAGGAGTTCCACAGGGACTGCTCTGGCCACAGAGTGACTGAGAACAGTCTGGAAGCTGAACCACTTGTTAAACGTGTTCTTGGTTAAGTATCTTTTGGCCATTTCTTACTCTTTAATATGAACGCATCCATTTGTGGAGATCTATGTGTGTGTGTCATTGGTTGCACTTCAGCACACCGCGGCCACAGACGGCCTCGGTGACGTGCTACCTGAGAATTGCACAGACTAATAAATAGCGATAGAAGTAATGAACAGCCGTAAAAAGCTGAGAGTCTGGGGGCTGGGAAGTGCAGGAAGAACGGCGAGTTTCTCCAACGTACGGCCGCGGTGCAGCTCAACCTCAGCCCCGCAGACCACAGCCGCCCTCCTTCGCCGGTACCGCTACGTATCGCCATCCGCGCGCGGCACCCCGCACAGCAGGCACTCCTAGCGGGCAGGACGAGGCCCGCTCCGCGAGGAGAAGCCGGGCCGGCCGGAACCTTGGTGCGCGGCGGCGGCAGCCGGCCGGAGCGGGAAGTGGTCTCTCTCCGCGCCGAGCCGGGCCGCACCGCCGCCTCCTTCCGAGCCGCTCCCAGCGTGCTGCGGCTGCGCGTCGCTCGGAACGGCCCCGGGCCGGGTGAGCGAGCGGCCAGAGGGCGGCCGCACCGTCGGTACTCGGTACGCTCGGCGCTGCGGGAAGGCAGGGCGGATGGCGCGGCCCTGAAGGCCGGGCCCAGCGCGCTGTCTGGGGGCGTCCTCTGGGCGGGAGGAGCCGGGCTGCGGGGAATCCGGGCGCGGTGCCGCGTGCGTCCCTGTGTGAGAGCGGGCCGCCAGCCGGGCGCGGATGGACGGGCTGTGCGGAGTGAGCCGTGCCCGGAGGTCAGCCGGGGCGGCTGGAGGTGGTGCTGCCCTTGCAGCGAACTTCTGGGCAGGAAACCCACGGCTGGGTGAAAGTAGATGGAGGACGGAGGGGGCCCGATTTTTAGGGTTCGGGTTTTTTTTTTTTCTGTGTTTGAAGGAGAATTTTCCCTCTCCGTTGCCCTCGCTTGAAGATACTGCACTTTCTGGCTTCAACTCCAGCAGTAGCCGGCCCTTCCCCTGGGAGCTGTGTGCCAGTCCAGCCTGTTCCCTTGCCAAGGGATATTAATGCAAGCTGCGGATCTCTCTGGAGCGTGGCGTTTGGGCGACTTTCCCTGCGGCTTCCTCTTAGGAAACACAGCTGTCCGTGTAAGTGAGGTAATCACTACATCTCCGTGACATAGCATTCTTAGCTCGACAAGACGTAACGTCTCAGTCTTAAAGGGAATGTGCATCTTGCACCGAGGTAGTCTGTCTTTGGAGGTATTACACTACCAAAAGGAAGACAGATGTCTTAAGACTGAAGCTGGGACCATTTTGCTTCCCATCGGTCCAGCTAGGCCCCAGCTCATTGTTGCCCTTTGTTCTCTTCTTACCGAAAGTGGAAGTGAAACCATGCTGTCACTTCCTACAGCCCCGCGTATCTCTGCTTCTCCCTTACCTTTTTTGTGCTGCTGTCAAGTTACTTCCTGGTAACTCCATGAACTTTGGGCTCGATATCTGCATGGAAACAAAAAGGTGTTTAAATGTAAAGTAGGTATTTTCTTAGCTTTAACTTCTTTTCCTCTTTCCTTTGCATTTAGCATTGAGAGGCAGGATGGTCCACGCTGAAACTTTTTCACGCCCCCTGAGCCGGAATGAAGTGGTCGGATTGATTTTCCGTTTGACAATATTTGGTGCTGTAACATACTTCACCATTAAGTGGATGGTTGATGCCATCGACCCCACCAGAAAGCAAAAAGTAGAAGCTCAGAAACAGGTAGGATTTTATTCACAAGAATTTTTGCAGAACACCGTTTCATTCATTACTGTTCAGGCAGAGAAATCTGAAAACTGGGCTAGGAATAGCCAATGAAGTAATTAAAGAGAGCTTGTGGGAGTGGAATAATAGAAAAACAGGAAGTGTATTTTAGTACAGGGTCTGAGCTGTTGTAACAAGTTAAAATCTCTAGCTCATAGTGGTGAAAGAGCTGTGTGGTGTGATGGTGTGGTGGTCTCTAACTATCTGCAAGCGTGTGGTCCCAGTGTCTCTTCTGTTTCCAGCAGCTTTGCTAAGCAGCAGCACATTAAATAATGCTTTCAGTTGCTTGTTAAAATCCTTGATCAGAAATAACTTAGTTCTCTACTGTTTTTTGGCAACTTGATGGCAGAGGCAGGGCTGCAGTAGCTCATAGCAAAGAGGAATGCTGCTGTCCAAGTGCTTTTTCAAGCACAACTGTAGCTTGTCTCTTCCCCTGGTTGCAGTCAAAATGCCCTGGAAAGGGGAGGAAAAAGGGGAAGCCTTGTTCCTTAGGATGGACTGGAATGAGGTGCGCGTGGGTGTTAATGCTTTTAGAAAAGGTGTAGGTGCCTTTGTGTACCAGATGTTAAACATTTCCTTTGGAAAGTACTGAAGCAAATACTGCAATATTTATTTATCTATCTATCTATCTATTTATTTATTTGTTAGGCCTGTCTCCCCGTATTCAAACTATTCAAATTCAAATTAGGTTTTAAGCAACCTAATTCTGATGGGTTTTTTTTTTCCTTTTTTAAATGAAATCTTCAGTAAAAAAAATTGGTTCCCTTTAAAAATCAGCTTTCACAATCTGTGCTGGTGCCAGCTGTTATGTAAGAGGTTGCAATATCCCAAAAGCATGTCAGATCTAACCTCAAGTTTGAGCGTAAAGAGAAAACGAATTGCGAAAGTATGTTGCCACAACAAATGACTTCTTTTTAAAGTGGGAAAAAGAAAACAGTGAATGCTTAGAAAAAATATCTGGCTTTGGTGCATCGTTCTTTTTTTTTTTTTTTTTTTTTTCCCCTTTTCCTTGAAAATACATTGATTCCTCACAGATGCAGTAGTATTGTTTCACTGAAGTGACAGCACATAATTTGGAAACAGCAGAATCCTTCTTCTAAAGGATTTGGGCACTTTTCAGATGTGATTTATTGAGAAGCTTGTATTTCTAACTTTCAGACTCCAAGTAGCAGTCCTTTAAAAATTAATTTTTGAATTAAGTTATCTACTTCCCTCTCTAATTTTCTTGGTGTTTTATGCCTTAGGCTGAAAAGCTTATGAAGCAAATTGGAGTGAAAAATGTCAAGCTTTCTGAATATGAAATGAGTATTGCTGCACATCTCGTCGACCCACTAAGCATGCATGTAAGAAATACTTTTCCATTTTATTCCTAGTAAAGCACTTCAGACATGGAAGATGTTAATTTTTTTTCTTTGGATGGCGTTATTTTGCATATGTATATGTCTATGGAAATACACGGAAGGTGATTCTGTGATTTGAAACTGTAGTAACATCATTAACTAATCTCTTGTTGGTTTTTTGTTTTTTTTTTTTTTCTGGAAGGCCCAACACTACTTAAATTTTTGGGTATGTTTTGTTGGTGGGGACTAAAATCACTTCTAATACTGTTTTTTCCACACCAGGTAACTTGGAATGATATTGCAGGCTTAGATGATGTCATTACAGATTTGAAAGACACTGTCATCTTGCCCATCAAGAAGAAATACTTGTTTGAGAACTCCAGGCTCTTACAGCCACCAAAAGGTAGGAAGGGGTTATGAATTTCTGTATTGATATTAAAAAACAAAAGCTACAAAAAAAAACCCACATTAGGATCACTTAGAAAGGAAGGAGAAAGTGGGTTGATAATTATCCAAAGTATAACTGGACTGATGCCAGGGAACACCCTCTGGTTTTCCCTCTTCTATTGCCATGAAAGTAAATTCTAGTGAATGGCTCGTATTAATTATGAAGTGATAATTGCTTCTTAGTTATTGATGATGCATCTTAATGCATTAATCAATACAGTTTGCATTTTTAACCATCTAAATTATGGAAGCTTTGTCTTTTTTAGACCTCATTTTGTCCTTTGCTGTACAACTTTGTAGGCTTTATTAGTTTTTTTTATAGTATCATGAAAACACGAGTCACAAATGTGAATACTGCGTTAAGCTGATCTTGTTCACAGCTCTCTGTTCTAATCCTAGAAATTGCAGTCATTAAAGACATCATTTTTATTTTGGAGATCCCTCGATTCTCTCTGGAGTTGAGCTGGACAATATTGAGGCAATTGAGTAGATCAGAACTATCTGTGCCAGAATGCAGCAGGTTGTATTTGCTGTATGCTTCTTGAAAACACACAGAATTTGAACATGTAGTGTTGAACAAAATGCCAAATTTTATTGTTAATACTCCTCCCAAAATTCTCTGGAAACCAATTGCTGCCTGTATCTGTGGCTGTCTTTTATCAATTTTATGTACCAAGAGAAAGAAAATGAAATAGTTTTGTAACTGGTTCAGTTTTTTCAAGGCTATGCTCTCTTAAATCAGAAATTGAAACTGTCTGGAAAATTGTTCTAATGATCTAATAAGCAGGAGGAGAATTATTTATCTTTCTTAAGCATACTTTCTGTATAGGGCAAGCTCCCTGTTTTCTTAGTGGCTTGCAGCAAGTGTTAATAGGAAGTCATCTTTTCAGAGTAGTTGTTTTTCTGATCATCGACTGTATAAACAGAAAAAAACAAACTATTACTCTGTTTTTACTGATTTTTATTTTTTTTTTTCTTATTTTCTTTACAACCGTGTTAGGAAAACATTGCTGTGATTTCTTTCAACATAGCAAGTTTAAAAATAATGAGAAGCATCACACTTCATTTGTGCATGATATGTTTAAAATGTTTGTGGGCTCCTTTTTGTTTTTAACCCCTCTGTACTAAGCTTTCTTAGTGAACTTGAAGCTATTAATGAGGCCTACCATAACGCTTGTAAGAAGTAGATTTTTAGTCTTGTAACATTTGCAGTCTATGTATTTGCTAGTCTATGTAACATTTGCAGTCACAGTAATAAAGCACTCATCTTTCAGACTAATGTCTTCTTTCAATTTCACTATATATTTTTGTGTGTGTTCTTGGTTTTAATCTTACAATGAGGATATCTTAAATGTGTTTGATTTGATGGAACACTGTGCAACTTGGCTTCCTCTCTTAAAACTTGCGTGAAATACAATCCCAGGCACTTTCATGTCTGTTGTGCCAAGAGTGTTTTCTGCATTGCAAGCAGGGAAGATTAGCACCATGGCTTTTTCAGGAGTACTTCTCTATGGCCCTCCTGGTTGTGGCAAAACCTTGATCGCCAAAGCTACGGCAAAGGAAGCAGGTTGTCGATTTATTAACCTCCAGCCTTCAACACTGACTGACAAATGGTATGGAGAGTCTCAGAAACTTGCTGCTGCTGTCTTCTCCCTTGCTATCAAGCTCCAGCCGTCCATCATTTTTATCGACGAAATAGGTAAAAATCTGTGCTCTTTGTAAGTAGCGGCGTGCCGTTGAACTGTGGGTTCAAGTTGAAGGTTATATTGATCTACTTTCCTTAGGAAGAATGGTAATGAGGCAAGATTTAGCAACACATATGGTATTGGAAAGTTACCCTGGCAAAGCAGGAAAAATCGCGTTTCTTTTTGTGTTAGTGCAGGAAATTACAACAAGTTGCTGCTTATTTTTTGCTGGGCTAATTAGGGAAACCTTATGGGCAATAAAACATGGGATTAGAAAAGCTTGGGAATAATAATTTAATAAGGCTAGTGAAATAGGACGGGAACGCCAGATAGGAAAGCAGAAAAAGTGCAGTTGTTCCACGCAGCTGGGCTTGCCACTATCATGCTTAAGTTACTGTGAGCAGCTTTGAAACCGCTCTTTCTCCTAGCACTTTGCACTTCACAGAGTGAATTGTGCAGTTTGTAGAAAGAGCATGACAAAGCTTTGTCCCGTTCATGTTTATGAAGGGTCTGCTTTCTTCAGATGTGTTTATTTCCTTCCTGTAAGTGTGAAAAATGTGCCTTTTCCTACCTGGTGGATGTTGTTTAGGCGGCTTCTGAAAAAATCAGAGCTCTGCATAGCAAAGTGCATAGCCTGATTCATGCCAGTCCTGAAACTTGCTGTTCTCTTGTGCTTTGGGGTTTCCTAATGATTCCATCTCTACATAAGAAATTAAGAGGAAATTTAAATTTCCATGAATTGGGGAAAGTGAAAACCAGGAGCTATGATCTGGGACAGTCTGACGTGGTAGTTACATACTTGGGTAATGTAACATAAAAGATACACTTAAAAATGTGCTAGGACTCCTCTGCTGTATTCTTCATTGTAAGAAATATTATTCATTTGTTGACAGCATTTGTTTTAGAAATAGGACAGAGTATGCCATCAGCACACAAGAAATCAAACTGTAGTTTCAACGGCAGGATTGTAAGTCTGCTACTTTACTGAATCCTTTAATACAGATTCCTTCTTGCGAAGTCGTTCGAGCTCTGACCATGAAGCAACAGCTATGATGAAAGCTCAGTTCATGAGTCTGTGGGATGGCCTGGACACAGATTACAATTGCCAGGTAAGCAGAGAGAAAAGCAGTGGGATTCTGTCATCCCAGCTGTGGTGTGCTGGATCATTTTGGAAGGAGTAACAGATTGCATGTATTAACTGCAAAAAGAATTTCTCTATCTGTTCATGAACACCCATGTGTTATGGGAATGAGATGAATTATATTAAGGAATTACTTTTCTTCTTCAGAATACTGTTTTTGTATGTGTTTTGTTTTTAATTTAGAGCTGCTACTTTCAGAAGTGTTGTAAGTTTCAGTAATGCAGCTTTAAAACTCAGGCTGCCAAAATTTGGAATTTTGAACTGTTTGAAAAAACAGGTTGCCAATTAAATTTTCATCAGGCAAATAGAATCTTTGATTTCAGGAAAGATATGAAAAAATGCGAGTATTCACCTCAGTTGCAGGTAGGTTATTTTCTTTCCAGAAGAGCATCAGACTAGCTCTAAGTAAGCATTAAACTGAAATTCTTAATCTTTGAGACATCAACTTCCGTAAATTTTTTGCGGTCAAAATAAATTCTGTTAAATGGAGATGTGGCTCCACCCCATGTTCTTCTGTGCTTTCCCCCCTTCCCATAATCTTTATGAAAACATTCTGATTCAGAGGAGGGGGGAAAAAGTACAAAACCTGCTGATGCTTTATAAAGAACATGACTTGGATGCCACATAGAGGAGAGCCTGCTGCCGGGGTGTCACCTGAAGCAATGATTTTAAGGTTTTAGAAAAGGATGTTTATTCTTTAAATACTGAATTTTCAGCCTCTTAGATTTGTATTTGACTGTGGAAGAATTCTGATTCTCTGCTCTCCATCAGTTTTTTCTTTACGAAATAGGCTCTTCCTGCTCTCTGGGTTGTGCTTACTGAAACCTGCTTTTCAGTGGATTTTTAAAACAGGTCCAAAGATGATGAATGTAGGTATTGCAGAGGCTTTAAGCAGAATGTTTGCTTATCATTAGTGGTACGAACACCTAAGTGTAAGCTAAGATCTTGCACGCACACGTTCTGTGTAGTACATGAATATTAGTTACCTGCTTTCCAATCTAGTGGCAACTTCCTGTAGCAAATGAGGTTGTTCTGTGTAGTAAGACAATATGTGACCTTACCCATCTCAAGCTCAGCATGCTGAGCCTGAGCAAGTTACTGTTGTCCCTTACTTGCTATGCCTTTGCATGGCAGAGAGCCGTAGGGATAAAAATGCAGTGCAAATGATTGGTGACACTGGGATTGATTCAGGTTTCTCAGGAGTGTTTTCTTTTGGTACAGTATTTCAGGCTCCTCCCTTTGACATTCTTGGGTCGTGGCTTTTCTGACAGCCAGCTCATGGGGCTCCTTTGTTCCATACCCATGTTTACTTGGAAGGTTTGGGTTGCTTGTCTGATTTTCGTCAAACAAATTTCCTTTGAACAAGGATGAAATTTGGCTTTTATTACTGTACAAAAAATTGCCAGTGTTAGGAGGAAATTGTAAAATCACCATAACGAGCATTACTTGTTCCTTTGCTGATTGCATCTGAAAAGTATCTTCAGCTTTGGCTTGAACCTGCTGTCATCATGAGTCTGGCAGGGACTGAAGGCTCAGTGCCTGGGAAACGGGGCTGCTCTGCTCAAAGCTGTAAGCCCTGGCTGCTGCATTCATTCTTGGAGAGGCCTGTGTTTGACAAAGCCAGTTCTGGGAAAGCTCCTAGCCCTGATGCAGAGGGAAAACCACCTCAAGTGTAATGCTGGGCCCTGACAGATCCTCGGGAAGCACAGCAGGGATGCAGCGATGCCTCTTGCATCAGCAAGCATTGGGCACACAAGCAAGACCATGGAATTTACATGCACAACCCTTTCTAGACAGACCTGTGATTGAGACTGCCTGAGCCCCAGCTAAAAGTGAGCCTTGGGCTTTTTCTGTGAAGCAGTTTGCCACCGCATACTTAAGCCTCTAGGTGGCAGGGTGGCTCCGATGCAGAGGATGCAAGCAGAAGGTGCCAGGGCTCGTTGCGGAACAGTGACCCCAGACAAAGGAGCAGGAGGGTGTCAGGAAGCTCTATTGATAGGAAATTTACTTTCTGGACATTTTTCACTGTTGTGACTGGGTGTTTACGATGTACATAACTTAAAATAACAAATGAGAATACAAGATTGATGTCAATGGGAAGTAAATTTGTCCTTAAGCTAACAGCTGAAATCCAGTCAAATGAGGTAATGCTCTCCTTGTGTGGAACTTGGCTTATACACATCTACTGCACTGCTCCTTCAGTGTGCTATAAGTATACCACAGCTATACTGAAGCCATATGGGTTCTGCTTGATTTTTAATGCTTTCTAAATGTAAAAAGGAAACAACACTTTAGCATTTTGTAAAAACTGCCCATTTAGTCTTTCCTAGAGAACTAATTGTCTCTTTTTTTTTTTTTTTTTTTTTTTTTTTTTAAACACTGCAAAAGAATGAAAAGATTTTTCATACCTGATCAACGTGTCTTCTTTCAAGTCCCTTCCAGACCATTGCCTATAGTCGAAAGCTCTGAGTTACTGCTCGGTGTTTGAACTTTCAATTCGGGATCGAGGAGTGTCAGACTGACATAAAAATCAGTACCAAGAAGCCTCATGTAGTTTATTTAAATGTTGATGTTCTTGATAAGGAGTGGAAGAGTCACATTTTTTTGTTCTGAAATTGGGGTATGGAAATGTTTTTTAAAATGGGGTATCAGGCTACATTGTTGTTTTGTGTATGCAGGTCATTGTGATGGGAGCCACCAACCGTCCTCAGGACCTTGACTCTGCAATCATGAGAAGGATGCCGACCCGCTTTCATATCAATCAACCCGTAAGTCCTGCCAGCTTTGCTGGAACAATGCCTGGGGGCTAGCAACAGGCAAGTGCTCTATCAGCCCCAAAAGACAGGTATCTGGCTGATTTTTTCAAGGAGATAGAGATGGAGTACTGTTCTGGTCCGCTTTTAGTGTTTTTAGAAGCTTATAGAACTCTGCTTTTAGGGTGGAGTTTGCCAGAAAAACCTAGTTCCTTGGTTCTTTTACCTGAAAGAACTCCATCTGTCTGTCCTGAGAGCTTCCAGCCCATTTTTTTCATCTAGATGCTTTACTCAGTCACTCTTTCCTTGCTGTGGGATAAATAAATACAAAATAAACTAATTTTCTGCATTTTTATGAAGCTTAAGGAAGTCCTTGGCATAAGACCTGAGCACATCCCATCTCTGCTCACAGCAGTTGGCACTGGGCACTCTTCATGCTAGTATACCATGCTGTTTTCCAGTGCAGTTTTGCTGTTGAGGTTTTGCCTTCTTTCTGATAAGCTGTCTTCTCTACATTGCAAGGTAACACAGTTACTGAATTCCGTGAGGGATTATCAGGCAGCTGCAGGTAGGGCATGAGCCAGAAGGTCTGTACCAGGAGCAGCATCTTAGAAAACAACTTATTAAACAAAGAACTTCAAAGGCAATGGTGCGGAGGTGAGAGGCAGCTTACTTCACAGGCTGCCTTTTGGGGAGATCTTAGTTCTAACTTGTAAACAACCACAAAAGGCACAAAATAATCTGCGTGCACTGCTTTATGGGACAGAGTGACAACCAGACTGGGGGTACATCAGTTTCTGGATATGTGATACGTAGACTTGAAGGAGAGAAGAGGGTATCAAAACCTACATTCTGATTAAGCCTTTCCATATTTGAGCACACCAAGCAATGTGGGAAACTTTTAGCTTTTATTCTCCACAATTTACTCCAAGTGGGCAGTAAGTTAAGGTCTGTGTCAACTAGGCCAGCAGTCACAATGTTACCCTCTCTGTATGTTTTGCTATTGCCATCCCTTCCAAGGTATTTCAGTAGCCTTGAGCACTTTATGATATCAGTACGAAAATGTCTTGTGTTTTTGTAAAAGGCTCAGTTGTGGTTGTTAGCATTTCTTTCTAAGTATGGTAATATGCTTAATTATCATTTTGTGCAGAAACTGAGAGACTGAAACAGTCCTATTCCCAGACCTATCTTATTGGAACTGGTCTTCTGTTAAAGATGATAGGAAATCCCTGGGGACAGGTGATTGTACTTAGGACAAAGTAAGACTAAACACAGTAGTGCGTTTCTCTTTCCCTACAGTTAGTGTAAATGTGTATGCTCAAGTGTTCAACTGCGTGTGCTCCTGGAGTCAGAGTGCCCTAGGTTTTGCTGAGTGGTTTCCCTAACTGCTGTCAGATAGGTTTCCTTCCTGTGTTTTTCATGTCTCCCATTTGAGGGATCAGATTTTGTCACTGAAATAGACCCAAAAGCCCACTTAGTGCAAGATTGATGTGGGTGTTGTTTATGTTTATTTTTGTTTTCCAATAACTAATCTCTTTTGTTTAAGGCTCTGAAGCAAAGAGAAGCAATCTTGAAACTAATTCTGAAAAATGAAAATGTAAGTAGACTCCTCTTCATGATTAATTTACTATAAAACTGTTGTCATGAGCACATGCTCTGGAGTTGTTGCAAATACTTTGTAATTGATTTTCTTGAGATAAGGTAGAGATCTACCTGAGTATTCCTGCCTATAACTTAGGAATCTTTTGTTCTCTTAAGTGTGGCGTCAGTTTGAAGCAGTAGACTTCCCTCTTGGTTTAAGTGCGAGCCAGTGAAGAAAATAACTTCTCTGTCCCCATTTTCTTTTCTTAAAACAAGATGTGTTCATCTCACTAACGATGCAGCTAAAGGTGAACCATGATTGGAAATAGCTTTGATCAGTGAAAGGAACATTGTGAAGCATCATTCACTCAGGAAGAAGACATTCTGATTTTCTTCAACTCAGTGTTTGTTGGCTCAAATTCAGAATGGAGGAATGACTTTTTCTGACAATGCTGCTTTTCCACTTTGATTCGTAGTTCATACTTCCTTTTGGGAAAACTACTATGGGTGTTTTTAGAAATTATATTGTATATATTGAATATATGATTCCTATCACGTCTGGGTTGCACATGAAAAGAAAAGTAACAGTGAGTGCATCTAGAAATCTTACAGAATTTAGGCTGCAGCATTAATTCTCATCAAGTTAATGTTGCAAGGGTTCTGTTTATGCATATTCTAAAAGAAAATCAGTTGATTTTAATAACAAATGATATTTTTAAGAGGCTTCAAAGTTGCAGCTGGTCATCATGAATGGCAGATATTGAAGGGGCTGTTTTTCAGGTGGTCATTTGGGATCATTTGTGTTGGACTGGAAGGCAGTTGACAATAAATGCAAAAACTGAACTGATGCTAAAAGCCAAGGGAATTGTGAAGGAAAATCTGACCTATTTGCGGCAAACATCAAACAAATTAAACCTCTTGCAAACTGTGGTTCCAAATCATTACTCCTTTCAGGAGTTGTTAGGAAGATGTGCCAAATAACAGACCTTCAAGCAGGCTTCCCCAGTAACTGCAGGCAGCCTTTGCATGCAGTCAGACTCATGCAGATCCTTTGCCTGGGATGCTGGGCCTGTGAGTTCAAGCACCTTGCTCTTATGGCATTGAAGGGGAACCTCAAATAGCTTATGAATGTGGCCTTGAAAGAGCGTAAGGTGTATCAACCACTTGGTAGGGAATCCCAGCCATGCAAATGATGCTTGCTGGGGCAGGGGTAGAAATCAGCCTGTACTGGTTATTCCATTGGAGGAGGAAGAGAATCTCTCAAGCCTAGCTTCTTTCCATCCAGGGAACAAGCTTTGGACAGCCCTTCACATGGCAGCTGTAAGCATGCTAGCTATTTTCCTTTCCTGTCTCAAAGTACTGTTTCATCTTCCTGACTTGAAGGGATATCCTTGTCAGTACCTGCAGCACAGCATCCCTGTTTCCAGGTTCTTCTTAGCCAGCTACACTGCTGCATCCAGTTGTTGATGACCAAACTGAGTGGCTCCTCCAGCTGAGCCCTGTGGGCTTCCATATTTGTGTGTAGGGCCATGCTTAAAGCAGGGCACTGAGAGACAGCTAGGCTTTGCTTTTACTACCATCCAGCCAGTTCTGTGAAATCATCTCCCTCTTGGAAATCACTCCTTAATCTCAGTCTTTTGGTTAGACTGCTTTGGCCTTAACACCTTAGAATCATAGAATGGCTTGGGTTAGAAGGGACCTCAAAGGTCATCCAATTCCAACCTCCCTGCCATAGACACCAGATCAAGTACTGGATCAGGCTGCCTAGGGCCCCATCCAACCCGGGCCTTAAACACCTCCAGGTACAGGGCACCCACAGCCTCTCTGGGCAGCTGTTCCATCACCTTACCACTCTCATAATAAAGAACTTCCCCCTGACATCTAACGTGAATCTCTTTTTCTTTAAAATCCCCTCATCCTATCACTATGTACCTGTGTAAAAACTTGATTTTGAGTTTAGAAACTCATGTGCTACATTCCTTTTAAATTTTGGAAGGCTGCAATAAAGTCTCTCCACAGTCTTCTCTTCTCCAGGCTGAAAAAGCCTATTTCTTACAGCCTGTTTTCATAGGAGAGATGCTCCAGCCCTCTGATCGTTTCTGTGGCCCTCCTCTGGACCCTCTCCAACACAAGAGAGATGGAGCTTTTGAGGTGTCCCATACCTGGATGCAGTACTCCAGGTGGGACTTTATGAGAGCAGAGTAGAGAGGCACAGTCACCTCCCTGCTCCTGTTGGCCCCCCTCTTCTGATGAAGCCTAGGGTATCATTGGCCTTTTGAGCTGCAGGAGCATACTGCTGGCTCATGCTCAGTTTGTCATCAACCAGAACCCCTAAGTCCTTCTCTGCAGGGCTATTCTTAAGGAGTTCTTTTCCCAGTCTCTGTACATATCTGGGATTCCCTTAAAACCAAGTGCAAAACGTTGCACTTTGCTTTGTTGAACCTCATTAGTTTATCAAGGGTCCACCTTTCAAGTTGATCGGAGTCCCTCTGGATGGCATTCATTCCTGCTGTATCAACAGCACCCTTCAGCTCGATGTTATCAGCAAACTTGCTGAGGGTTCACTCAATCCCATAATCTATGTCACTGGTAAAGATGTTAAAGAATACTGGTCCCAAGACAGACCCCTGAGTATCACTGCTTATTATCGGACTCCACCTGGGCATAGAACCATTGAACACAGCCCTCTGGCTGCAACCTTCCAACCAATTGCTTATCCACAGAGTAGTCCACCCTTCAAAATCGTACTTCTCCAATTTAGAGGTAAGGATGTGGTGGGGGACTGTGTCAAAGGCCTTGCAGAAGTCCAGGCAGATGGCATCAATTGCCTTTGTCCACTCCATCACTCCATCACTCCAGCTTCTTGAAAGGAAAATGTGTCTTGAATGGAAAATCTGCTGGAAGGAGCTGTAAACTGGGTGAATAAATATGAGGTCTTGACCAGAATGAGTCCAGTCTGATCCAGTGCATGGGATTAGAGATGTTCTTTTGCCTCTAAGTTCCCTCTTTCATGGTTGTGTGAAATAGGATTAGTTGTTCATTAACTCGACCAACAGCTTTTGAAGTTCTTACTCTGCATTGAGAGCTGGCAACAGCAAAAGATAAACTTTTTCCTGCCTTGCTGTATTACTGGTCAAAGCAAGTGCTTATGCAAATACAATGTTGTCTCTTGAATAATGTTAAAAACAAACTAAAAAAGGCTGTGGCTAAGAAGGGGGAACCATTGGGTGGCGTTCATTTTGAGTTGCAAGGAACTTGTGAGGGTGTTGGGGAAACCAAGTTGTTATTTCTATGATACTGTTTTCCAGCCATCAGGCTTCTGAAACTGCTCAGGAACCTTGTCAGTAACAGGTGGTAGCAGTGTGATGATTCACATGTGATTGCTTGTTCATGCTTAAGAGATTTATCGGATGAAACATCACTTTCATTTAATGAAATTGGTTACCTGGGAAAGTTCAGACCATAACTTTATCAAATAATTTTCTTTTTAGTTCTCAAAAAGGCAAGATGGAAAAACCCCTGACTTAGGGCAGGTAAAAATACTTGGAGGTGACCATTTATTATACTTGTAGAACAAAGTGAAGTCTTCAGGATCTCCATGCTCTTTTCTCGTGTTTCTGGACAGGTGGACAGACATGTAGATCTCCTCCAGGTTGCCAAAGAGACTGATGGATTCTCAGGAAGCGATCTGAAAGAAATGTGCCGGGATGCAGCGCTCCTCTGCGTCAGGGAATATGTTAATTCTGCCTGCGAAGAAGAGAAGTAGGTGCCTTTATTCTGTTACAGTAGCGAAGCAGCAAGTGGGAAGGCTCTTGGTGCTACATATTGGGCAGTTATTAGGTTTTGTTTTCTGATACAAGTGGCAAATTATAGCAATTTTGTCAAACCTCTCCCTGACTGACGGAAAACAGGAGGTCCTCTCCTTCTTGACAAACTGCCACCATACGACCAAAAAAACTAAATAAGTTATCTTATTCTTTTTGACCATCAAAATAAGACTGTTTGTTCCAAGGCATTGAGCTTGAGCTGGCAAAAACCAGCAAGAGAAACACTTCTGCACTGTGTGTGCTACCAGTTTGAAACGCTGGTGACACAGTGCTCTTGTGCACACGGAACTGTACTCTGTTATGTTCCTCTGTTTATCTCCATGCTTGCAGGTAGACAGCATGCACAGACAGAAGCACATTCTAAGGGTAGTGCTGGGTCAGAGTCAGAGCTGCTGTTCTCAGAGGTTACTTCTCTTTGTTTGAATTGGTGCCACGCGTCACCCAAATGACTCTCTTGGTTTTATTTTCTTTCTCTATCCTGAAGCCGTGATGAAGATGAAATTCGGCCTGTGCAGCAGCAGGATCTCCTCAGGGCAATTGAGAAGATGAGGAAATCAAAGAAGGCCACGCTTCACGATGACCTGATGCATGTCATTATAGATTAAGGCTAAGGAGTGCGCTTGCTGTTTCTGATGTGATTTATATTCTGTAATCAGTTAGCGAAAGCAATGGAAGGGGCTGGGAGTGGGGACACTCCTTGAACGAGGGAGTTCTGTTTCTGGAATTGTTTTTATACAGCAAATGCTAAGTTATTGAAATTTTTGTCATGCACAACTAGAAATGTAACAGTAGATCACGAAGTGGAACAATTACAGCTCTGACCAAGAGCAACTGCCTGTGTCTTGTCCCTTATGGATGCACTGCGTAGCCTTAAAGCAGGTTCTGGTGTGGTGCGAGGGCAGCGGCCGCCTGCTGCCAGCTGTGTGCGTACATACAGGTGTGTGTATGCATTACGTATATATATCCACGCGTTGTTTTTATATGTAGGCATAATATGTAGATAACTTGAGTATGGGAAATGTTTTCTACTTCCTGAATGAAACCAAATCAGAAGATGTATAGATTCATCGATACTCAGCTCACACTTACTTCTTCCTTTGAGCAGCAAATAGAAATTCTGCTTCTAGAATAACTTTGAGGGAAAATTGAAAATGTTACTGATACTTTTTTTTTTTTTTTTTTTTTCACATCACCACTTGAAATCTGGTGCCATTGAGTAAAGATAGTAACTACTGTAAAAATGTTTGAATGCTTTTTCTTTTGTATGAATTCTGCTTCTGGAGACATTTTAATGCTGTTCTTATTTTTCTCCTCCAATGTGATTTAATTAAGGGTGAAGTCTACTTAACTGCTTTTTCCTTAAGCCCCACCTTTTCGAGTTTCTTGAGGCCGTGCTTTCTGCTGTGTTACATGTCACAGTGGGGGCCTACTGCTGTTTCATCTCTGGAAGAGGCACTGCTGCACTGCCCCATTGTGCCATGGCGAGGGGAGGTGTTCTATGGTGCTTTGCTGTGTCACCTGCTCTGCCATGCAAAACTGAAGGCAATGAGGAGACAACTTCAGGTTTATAAATATGATTTAGCGATGTTCTGCTGTACCTGTTGGTAACAGTTTGGTAAATTCATGTAACACTGTGTAATGATAAAGGCAAAGGGTTAAAATGTAAGTGGCAAAGTCTTTTGGTAAAGTTATTGTCAGCAGGTTTTCAGTAGTTTAATTTTTCATAATAATTGTGAATTGTGCACTAACTTGACACAGACACATCATCACAACTGTCCGACCCAAGGGTCAGTGCACTGTCACAGCTCTGCTGGCTGTGGAGAGGTAAGCGGCGAAAGCAGGTGACAGTGGGAAATGGAACAATCTGCAATGCAGAGAGCCGGGGTGAGGTGTTGTCTGGTGTCAGGCACTGCTGACAGTGTGAGTTCCCCTGGAGGACAAAGAGCCATCCTCCACGCTGCAGGGGGGTGAGCTGCAAAATCTGACCTTTGTAATCAATTGTGGCAGTTTCTCTGGAGGCTGGGATTATGCCTGCACCAGAAGCAGAGCTCGAGCTGCTCAGTCCGTTCAGCTGCATCCATCCTTCTTCACAGTGTGTTACTTTGGGGGAAGTGGTTTAATCCTGGTTTATAATCAGACTGAGTGTGAGGTTAAACATCAAACCTGCACAAAGGGATGCCTGCAGGAGCACCCTGGCCCCCAGCTGAATGCTGCGGTCCTGTCCGTGTGGCCCCAGCGAAGGGGCTGTTGGTGTGCCTTCACCAGGCCTAAGAGAAGGGAGGGGGGGGGCAGGTGGCACATGGGGTGATCTGCAGTTGCCCAAGGGATAGTTCCTGCAGCTGAGCTGTTCTCACTTCTCCAAGGACAACTCTGCACCTTAGAGGCCCTTCCTGGGAGCTTGCCAGGGAGCCCAGGGATACTGCAGGATTTATGCAAGAACATAATGTTTATGAGTGTGTCTCTGAATTCTGCAAGTGCTGCTTCTTTACAGCCTTATTTGAGCAAGGTTTGGACATGGGAAACCCCCTCTGGTGTGTGGGAAACTCATCTTGAGGGGTGCTTGGGTCTGGGAGCGGTAGGCAGCACAGCGCTCAGTGCTGCTGAATGCGCCTCACCTGACTCGAAATAAGGCAACAATCACAATGTCAGCATTAGTTTACATGTATAAATATTTATTTGTACTAAAAGTGAGTGTCTCAGAGTATCAGAGTCAGAATATATTAAATCAGGAGATGCATCAGTTGAGGTACAAATTCCAGTCTCATGTCTTTAATAAATACACACAAAAAAACTAGTCCACATTATTTTAATCAGAGGTAATCTGTATACTATGCTATTTTAAAAGAACAATTCAACAATTGCGTTTTGCTGTGACCATCTGGATTAAGTACATTGTCTTGCACTGCTTGATTCTTTTGGGATGAGAGGCAACAGCTAACTACTGCTTCAAAATAGCCAATATTGCAATTAAAAATTTGTGTCTTGCTTTTATCTTCCAGGTCCCTGCCAGAGGGCCTGCATGTGGAAGGCTCTGGTGCTGATATGCTCTCGGCTACTGCCGGGGTGGTTGCAGCACAATGTTGAGGTATAACACGGCTTTTTGTTCTTCTCTTTGAATATATAAAAAGATTACAAAAAGAAAACCAACATCAGGTGACAAGTGAAAAATAAGACGCTTCGTACAAAAATATTCCCAATTGCATGTGTAATCTTGGTACTGCACCATGGCCACAGCAGAACAGCTCTGAGCTTGCGGCGTTGCTTGATGTGCAGTCCCCAGCAGAACCAGGGTTGTTCTTACTGAGCCTGGACCCATCTGTAATTAAAAGGCGGCACGTGCAGAACAGTTCCTGTGAAACCTGCGCTGAGCAGCCCTGGGGAACTGACTGAAGAGGATGTGTGCAAAGGCCACAAAAGCTGGTGGTAATGCGTGCATGGCTGCCTTCCCTCTGCTGTCCCCTAAAACCTCCCCTCCGAGTGCAGCTGTCAGGGAAGGCGCTGTTCACCCTTCCCAACACCATGGCAGCACAAATCAGAGGGAAGGCATGAGGTGTGATGGCAAAGTCTGTGGTGGGGAAAACCAGAATAGTGCTGCAAGAGCTCTCCATCAGGCAAAGGCAGCCCCAGTTCAGCCCTTCGCACTGTCCTGTATGATCAGCATCTTCTCAGCGATCTCCCAGGCTGCGTGATGCTCCACACGGCTGCCATGGTGCCCGCTGGGCCATGAGCACAGGGAATCCCAGCGTCCCCATGGGAAGCGAGCTTAGAGCACCAGGATCACAGCCAGTTTGTTTTTTTTTTTACCAGAAGGGGCAAGCAGGAGGAAGAAAAGACCAGTGAGGCACTGACTCGGCAATGAGGCTGTTCATAAAAAGGCACTAAAAGGTCTCACTGTTAGCAAATGTCTAAGGCACGACCTCGAGAGCAGCAACTGGATCCAAGCACTGAGGGCCAGCAGCAACCACTCCTTGGTCCCTCTTTTGGGGCAGCACTGGGCAAGGGGTAAAGGAAGGACACTTCATTGCTTCTATTCCATGCAGGTGCACAGATTTGCCCAGGCAGCACCAAATGAGCCAGCTGGCCCCATTCAACACTGCACTAGGCACCTTGGAGCTGCACCAGGCTGGAAGCAAAGGGCTGGCTGTCCTCCTCCTCCAGCTCTGAGGGGAGGAGGACTTGGTTCAAAGTATTTCTGATTATTAAAAACTACTCTGATCCAGACAGGAAAAGTCCCACCAGTCAGAATAGTGAAAATGCCATGTAGCTGATCTCTATCATAGGGAATCAATCATCGCTCACTCTTAATACAAGTATTCCTAGGAGGAGAAGTAGTGTTAATTCTTTTTTTCCAGCGATTGGTAGTACTCAGTTAGCACTTTCCAAGCTTTGGGGGCCATGAAGCCATCCGGTGGGTTTTCCCCTTCGCGAGCGAGCTTTCTCATGCGTGTTCCTGAGATGAAGTCAAAGTCATTGTGCCTAAAGCAAAACAGAGAAGGGTGAGGTCAGCCAAGTGGTCCAAGCTGTCCCCGTGCAGTTGTTCAGCCCTACCAGGAATGCAGCTGCAAGCCCCTGGTGCCACCTCCCCGCCAGCAACATCCCATGCTGACGTTCCTATCAGCAGCAGCACCGTCTCCTGAGGGAGACGCTTTCTCCAAACGAGCTGCAGTTGTGGTGAAATGCCTCCATAGCAGTTACGTAGGTTAAAGAAAAGAAGACTGCGGTGCTCACGTTACCTTTCTGGTTCATAAAAATCCATAGCTCGCTTCACTTTGTTGTAAGCCGCTACACGGAACGGGATGATCTCCACCGACGTCAGGCCCGGCGCCATGCTGAGCACTTTCCCTCCCTGCGTGGGCTCATACAGGTCCTTCTTGGTCTCGGGGTGAGGCATGCCTGCAGGATCACGCCCCACAATGTAGAAATTGGTGCCAGCAATCATGCGAGCCCGGCAGTGCCACTGCACCTGGGAAGGAGAGACGGGGATGCTGAGCCCAGCAGCCCTGACTGCAAGGTGCTCCTGGCCAGCCAGACCTCGCATACAGCAGGGAAGGACGGTGGAGATGTGAGCAGCCACACCACTTCTCACGTCAGCACACACAGATTTATCTCTCACTGCGTGGACCTGGGGCAACATCTCAGCTTTTCTGCGGACACATATGTCAGTGGGAAATGCCAGGACTGGAAACAGTTTTGTTCCAGTGCGACAGTGAACAGAGGAAGCCATTTGCTATTTGAATGCACAAAGACAGGGCCTATCAACAAGCATCCAGCATCTACCTTACCTCTGTGGGGCCGGCATAGAGCATGGGAGAGGGGAAGATGGCAACAACAGTGGATTTGGGGTCCAGGACGTGCTCCTCAAGCACCGCCGCATGCTGCTTCATACGCCACTCCAGCGGAACATCGTCATCCTTGGTCCACCCACCCAGGGGGTGCAGGAGAAGCACAGGGTTTTTGTAGCCCCTCTGCAGGAGCTGGCGCCGCGTGTCCTGCATGAGCAGGGCATGCCCATTGTGCACGGGGTTGCGCAGCTGGAATGCAAAGACAGCATCTGAAACAGAAAATATGACACCATCAGGAGACAGGCACAGATCTGCTGTCCTATCTTCACATGAAACAGACCTTAAATACACATGTACAGCACCTCTGGATTGCTCTGTCAATTTATTTTCATTGCACATCCTTCCTTTGGGGCCGATTTTAGTCCGATCAGCAATTCTGCCTTGTTTCTGGTTAGCACTGGATAGAAATCCACATCCCTGAGGAGTTTCCTGGCTCTTTAAGAAATCTGTCACCTCCATAACCTCACAATGTCACCTTCACAAAGGCCAATACTCTCTTCCCCTCTGAAATAAGCATCTAGGGGGCTAGCATCTGCTGCTCGGATGCCACTGCTGTGGCAAGAGAGGGTAGAAAGAGTTAACATCATATTCAGCACATGAAACCTAATTAGCCCTAATGTGTTGATCCTGCAGGAACACTACAAAGGCCATTTCTGGGGTGGCATAGATGAGAAAGAGCCTGAGCTGTCAGACATGACAGAAGATTTATGGCTCTAATTACAATGCCAGAGCTACAGAATGGAGCTCCGAGATTTGGCTGCTCCATATACAACTGCACTTTGCAGAAGCACTCTTTAGCCAGGGCTGTTCACACAGACACCTCTGGTGCTCAGAAACAGGAATTCACAAGGAAGCGATAGATCCTTAGGCTGTACAATACTTCCTACCTCTCAGCCTGC